GCTTCTTCTTAGCGAGGCCTTGGGTTGATTGGTCCTTCTTTTGTCCCAAAACTTTCTTTCGTTGTTCCCTCCTCTTGCTTGGGTAAGGGTGGTTGTCATAGTGTCATGGTGGGCATGATGGTCAATGAGTTGTTGTGCTAACTCCTTGGCGCTGTCGAAGGTAGTTGGTCTTGAGGCCAGCACGCTATCTTGAATTTCGGGGGACAATCCCCAGAGGTAACGCTCCAACTTTTTGTCTTCCGGGGTGACCATAGTGGACAAAGGAGTGTAGATCACAAAATCGGTTGGTGTAAGTTGTAAGGTCGGAGCCTGCCATTCTGAGATTCCATAGTTCTTGCTCCAGCTTTTGCACTTCACCTCTTGGGCAATATTCCTTCAGCATCATCTTCTTCAAGTCCTCCCAACTTAACGAGTTAGCCACTGCAAGCGTAAGCGATTTAACTTTGCCGTTCCACCAAGTGAGAGCTCTTCCGATGAAGGTGAATGTCGCGTACTTGACTTTGCTCGCTTCGGGGCAAGCACAAATCTCAAAGATTGCTTCGGTCCTCTCGAACCATTGAATTAGTGCGAGGACACCCCTACTTCCATCGAAGGAATCGGGTTTGCCATTTGTGAAGTCCTTGTAAGTGCATTCCCTTGTGCGTCCTGCACTATCCCCGTGGTTAGGGTTTGTGGCTCCAGATCCAGCACCACCAGTGCTATTTGTGCCAATTTGTGACATTGCAGCTACCACGGCTGCAGTTACTGCAGTTTGGAACATTTCGGGATCAAACTGGGGAGGTGGCGTTGGAGGTGGTGGCGCTGTGCTGCCCGAAGGTCTGGGTCTTTTCCTTGGTGGCATCGTTCTGTCATGAGTTTGCAAAAAGAAAAATGATCAGATGGTAAGTTTCTACTAGTAAAGACAAGTCAGTTGTTATAGAATTAGATTTTTCCTGCATTATTCTTCGATTTAAGAGTTCCTTAAATATAACTCATAAAGGAAGTCCATATGAATGAACTTCACGAGTTAGTAGGTTTTGTGGTCTCTCTTAGATTTTTCACGAGTGTGCTCAAGGCGATTGGTGCGGATCGTATGTATTCTTGCATTTGCATCAACCTCTGCGATACTATGGAGAGTTGTTCTACCCTGAATCTCGTTTCGGGCAACTCTATAGACTAGGATTGGAAAAATTCTATCTGCTGAGCTTCCTTCGTTTATGTTGTAGAAACTTCGTTCTCTATTAA